CATCTGATTTTGGGACCAGATAAGTTGATAGGTAGGTTATGCACCAAGATTCAGGCAACCTTTGGTCGTCTTGAAGAGCAATGGATGCACCAAAAAGAGTTGCAAGATAAAACAGGAACAAGCGAACAGGAGACATCATGAAGAATCAATGGGAACTCTGGGAAGACGAAAACCAGGGACTGAGCCAATACTGTGAATTTCTACGACTCTTAACTGCTCTACACTCAAATGTTCAGCTCAGCCCTGCATACACTCAGCCCATGAAGCATAAGACATCTGTTGGTTGCTGTGAATATCTCAAGACAATAAAAAAATTGGTGGCAAGCAACAACTGGACAATGTCTCAATCTAGTTAGTGAGGCGTTGGTCTAGAATATGAGTTTTGACATTAGATGTCATCGCGCCCACGTTAAGACAAGACATCAACCATCGTACTAAACTCACGTTAGCTAGTCACCAAGACTCCCTTGAGTTGCTCCCTTGCATACCATAGAGTAAACAACACAGAATCTTGGTACCAACAGAATCACTGGATTCCACGAGACAAAACACCGTAACGAATTTGGGCCTTTCAGTCAGCCACTGCCAAGCTATCCATGGGAACCGAAATTTAAAAGTAAGCGAGCACCAACAATGACCGCTAAGAGCAAATAGAGCATGGCGTCACGCGCTACACGGGTCACTATCATATTCTGGCATGAAACTATTCATGTCGCCGGTAAGCCACAGTCTTTAGGTAATTAGATGGACGTTGAGGTATGAAAGTAACATTTCCTCACTACTAGCATGAGGCTTTAATAAGCGCCAAGTCCCCTTTATGCCGTTCAAAACACTCTTTCTCTGCTTCTTTGCTCAGGCTGTGTGATTTCCAGCTGCAGTCATTCGTTTGGTGCATTTTTGCTCTTCGCCCTCGTTAATCATGTACTCCAAGTCACTCGTTTTCCCAGCGCTCTTCGCCGCTTTGGGAGTTGCTCAAGAAGATGTCCAGTATGAAACCCGCACAGCAACGATAACTCAATGCTTCACCCGCGATGGCCTTCGTCCTCCGGCTACAGTCACCGTGCCCGGCCCGACATGCGTGGTTCACGAGCCAGCTGTGACAGGAGAAGCCATCATTGTCGAAGTCCAAGCTCCCGACTGTCACTGCGGCTGCCCAACTTGTGTCCATACTCTTGAATACACTACCAACTACCCTGCTTTCTGCTCTACTGGTCTGTTTGAACAGGAGTATGTCATCACGGAGACATACAGTGGCATGGAGGCAAAGCCTACCAAGAACGAGCACGATCTTCCGTATGGATTCACGTGTGAGGTTCAGACGTGTACTACTTGTGGCCCCGAGCCTGTTACCGCGACCATCACGCACCCTGTTTCGGGTCATTACATGAATGAAGTCGCACCAACTGAAATGCCAATGGCAAAACCCGGCAAAGAGCAGCCCGGCAAAGAGCAGCCCGGCAAGGAGCAGCCCAAGGAGCAAGGAAACACTGCACCCAAGGTCACTGGAGACGACAATGGATTCCGATCAAGCGTCAAGCCTACTCCAGTCCCTAATTCCCCAGAGAGTGCATCTCCTGGTAAGTCCACTATGATTGATCTCGTGAAAGGTATCAAAACTAACGCCAGAACAGGAGAGTCCACCGATCACCCTGTTATTGTATCTGGCGCCATGAGTCAACACTTGGGGCTGGCTGGTGCTGGTATTGCATTCTTTGCTCTTATTCAATTCTTGTTCCTATGATCTTTCTCTTGAATGTTCAGTAATGAAATTTAGTCTGATGACATTTACTCTTACATTTTTCGAAGTCGTGAGCCAAGATATCTTTGGTCGATAGAATAATTTCACTATTTTGGGTCTGCAAACTCAATTACATTTCTCATCGATATCGGAGTCTGAGTGACGCAAAGTGCAACCTTGGCCTTCTAAACAGAGTAAAGATTGTCAAGGCCCAGATTATAGGCATCGACGTAATGTTAATGCTACAGGCGGTAACCGCGGCTATACCGGGCAAGATGCTCCATTTGACAGTGGGACATCTCCATAATAAAAAGACTCTATCACAAAGAAAAGTTATGTACCGACTCACGTGCGATCAAGATGGCCAAGGAACTATGCAAGTGTTGGCGCATGCAATGATAATGTTGGGTGAGATCAATTAATCCTTGCAATACAGAACCGTTATGTCGTATCGCCTTGACCTGTCACAGTCTCAAACAGACCAATGAGATGGACTTTTCTCGGGGAGTTGAGCCTCAGCTCTCACCAATCCCTGTCCGCGGGCCTGGATCGAGGCCAAGGAGCAAAAGTTCCGGTGGGTTGCATCTCGAGAGACAATGAACCAAGACCGTCAGCATCGATGTGATATCATTATTCTACTGTCGATTCTGAACGTCCAGCTTAAATTAATCGCTGTTCCAAGCAACTGTCGACCTCTGTTCCCCTTTTTCAGTGGTCGCACGTGATAACGCATAGTGAAATTCCCAGTGGCCCAGGTGACCTCTCGTCCCCACCCAAAAACTCACCGCCCGGCCGAGTCCCGACTGGGCGAGCTAGCACTAAGGTTTGGTTTAGAATTGGTTCCCATCGTTTTTGATCCAGGTCAGGTCTTGTCAAGACTGTACCAACACACGACTTTGTTGGAGCATTTGCTTCGGCTTCAGCCTCAGCCTCCCACCGAAAAGTCACGAGGGGGCTTTTGTTTTAATTCTCCCTTCCTTTCTTCCCCTCCTCTTCTAGAACAATGTCCGACGAAGACGTTGATGTCCTCGGCCCAGACGGCCAGCCCCCAGCTCGAGTCGACCGCGATCGAAGAGCTCCGCGCTTCAGCTGGACTCCCGCATACGAAGCAACCTTCTTCCGAAGTCTCTGCGAGAGCGTCCAGCTTGGTCTCCGCGAAAACTCCTCCTTCAAAGCAGAGGCCTGGGAGCGCGCTGCTCTGGCTCTGCAGGAGAGTCATGGCGCCTATCCGGCTAAGAGCCACCTGATCAACAAGAGTGACAACGCGAGAAAACGGTTTCGGTTATGGAGAGGCCTTCGTGAGGACCCCGAATTTGTTTATAATCCGGTCAAGAGAACGGTCACTGCTACGGAGGAGGCGTGGACTGCCCATATCGAGGTAAACATTCCTTGCACCATGACGATGCAATGAACGGGAATTGCCATCACGCGAACGACGAGGCCCGGCTGCTATAGCCTCGCGCATACAAAACGACTGTGTCAAGCACATGCTGACTCGCAAATAGAGAGAACCGCTTTCTAGGGCGTTGCGCGGCCGACCCTTTGATCACGAAGACTTTATGGAAGTTCTTTATCCAGACGTCATCGGCTCGGGTGGCGCTCCCAAACGTATAATGAAACCACGGAGACGAACAGACGGCCCCATGACCGATGACCCTGATATGCCGGGGACCGGTATACTCAATTTGACAAGCGATCCTCCTCCTCCTCGACCTCCTGGCCTCGAGAGCCCGAATTCGCGACCAATGTTGACTCAAACTCCCACTACATCCTCCACTGGGTCGGCGACTCAGCCACGACCGACGTCTACTACAATTCCTCCACGCGGACCACCTACTGTAGCAAATGCTAATGCTCTTACCCCGCCCGACGAGACTATCACACAAAGCCGCAAGCGACAGCTGCCTACTACAAGCACCCCGAACATGTTCGAGTCAACGCCACCTGCTACTACTATTCCTATGGGTCAGTCGGCCCCTGAATCTCCTGGCAAGCGTCGCCGTACTTCGTCCAACGACGGTTCTCGTGCTCTGTCAGCGTCCGTTCTCAACTCCTCCATGCTGCCTTTGGCTGTGCGTGATGGCCCGAGTGCTGCTTCTCCTTCCCAGGCGGATAGCCAGAACACCAACGGGCCCGTTATGGAGGAGATTGTCGAGGCTGTACGATCTCGAAATACTCTACGCTGGCAAGAGGAAGCGCTGGACATATTCTTCCGTGACTTTGCAGACGAAGATCTCGATCTGCAGGTCAAGATCTCTGAGGGCGTGCTCATCAATGAGTGCAAAGCTATGGTGTTTTGCAAGATGCCCAGCCGCGTGCGACAGCATTGGGTAAAGCGTTTTAAGGAAACTCCCCTCCGGCAGTAGTATGTCGAGCCTTGAGACTTGTCTCTCAGGCATCTATAGACCGATGCCTGTGAAAGCATCAAGGATGGGGGCGGTGGACCATGAACCTCGAGGCATCAACACCAAACACAACAATCTAAGGAAACAAAAGACACATATCCATAGCAATCAGGGCAGGAGTGATAACAAAAGAAATCCAAGAGAGTATGGTCTGGCGCTTATTGGGTCGTGTTGAAGATACCAAGGGTTACGGATATGATAGCACGGCGTTCTATTTGGGCAAAAACATCTATCTGTTTTCTTGCTTTTTGTTTCTGTTTTTTTCCATATTTGTGGCGTTGCATTTGACGGGACATTTGCCTACGAACGGGTGATAGTTATGTGAAAGGACGGGATTGTTAGGGGTTATGGAGCTGGTGGTGGGTTGATGAAGCGTGCTTTGCCATGTCTTTTTTTGTTGATACCTAATATATATAATTCTCACCTCTCGCTACTCCATGTCCATGATAGAAGACGAGTCTAGACGTTTTGGGGCTTCATCAAGATTGGGGGTGGCCTTGTAGGAACGATGAAGTTGATAGGGGGTTCATCTATCGACACTCTTCCATCGTCTACAATGTGAATATAATATACGTAGGCTCAAGAACTATTCCGAAGTACCACTCAAACATTACTTTATACAAAAGTTGCACTTTCTACACATCTACCTTGAGGTTGTTTCTTGAACCAAGAACATTGGCTTTCGAACCATAACTCATGATATCAATCGATGCCACCTACCTCTCCCTCCATCTTCACAACACATTCGGCTTATCCCATTAACATAATTATTTTCTATCTATCCATTATTTTGTCCCGTAGTAATTAGTTCTTTTAGATCCCATGCACCTTATTTTTCTTCCTATAGATCATGATACTCAGCCCAGGTTCGACTCCTCCTCCAAAACCCCCTTGGCTCTTAAAATGGGTCCCAACTCCTTCAACCTCACAGGCTTCGTCAAGAACAAATCCAATCCGCTGACAGTAGCCTCTCTCTGCGCCTCTTCAGAAGCCAGCCCTGTCAAAGCAAGTATCAGAGCAGGCCTCAACCCCTGTTGTGACTCAAAAGCACGAATCCTCCTCGTTGCTTCAAACCCATCCATGACCGGCATCGAAATATCCATCAAGATACAACTATACCGTCCAGGGTCTGCCTCATAGGCTGTGACAGCTTCTAAACCGTCTGAAGCTGTTTGATATGGCTGTTTGAGCTTCTTCATGTATGAGGAGAGGATCTTGAGGTTGATAAAATTGTCGTCAACGAGAAGGAACTCGGATGCTCTGAAATAGCCTTTTGGCTGCGTTGGAGTTTCATCTTCGCTCGCGGGGAAGGGTGAGCTTGGGTTTGTTAGTGAAGGAGCAGTGCTGGTGACGATGCTCAAAGATTCGGGCTCTGTTGATGCTGATGTTGGAGATTGGGGAGATGTTTGCATGACTGTCCAGCGATACAAGGCTAGTGAACATGCTTTGGCAAGCTTTCGAGGACCGAGTCTTGATTTATGGTTAGCCTAGAGCACGGCATATGGTGCATCATGGAATGTTACTTACGGCTGTGAGATGAACTCGAAAACTCCGGGGCGTGGTATTGTCTTTGTGCCAGTCGCATACTGATGGGCAGTAACAGCATTGGCACACAGCACAATGTTTGGAATATCCGGGACTGCCTCCTGCGGAACACTGGGTCTTTCAAACCCCTCCTCAGACCAAATTGCGAGATCTGCCATGAAGCAAGGTGTCTCCGAGGTGGTGTTGACCTGCATGTTTAACCATTCCTTGCACAAATCTTGCACAAGTTGGTCAGGGGATTCAATCGTTCTTTGTGCGGAACCGCCTCCTGCAACGGAGTCTTTGTTGAAATCAACCAGTCTGACCCGAAGCCCTCGAAGCTTTTCTGTCTGCGCGTCGAACTCTTCTTCTCGTTGCCGAATCTCACAGACATTGTGATGGCAGTTGTCACCAAGCTTCATCGGTAGTCTCACTGTTACTGTAGTACCGACGCCAACTCGGCTGTCGACAGAGATGTGACCTCCAAACTGTGCAGTTATCTGCTTTACGAAACTAAGTCCAAGACCTGTGCCAGGGGACAAGTGATTCTCTTGCGAGAACGGTTTGAACAAACCGTTTTGCAGAAAGTCCTCGCTAATGCCTACACCTGTGTCAGAGACTTTAATGGTTACCCAGCAGTCATTATCATCAGCACCAAAAGCGCTGGTCTGTTCTAAAGAGACCTTGATGATTCCACATTGCGTGTACTTGAGCGAGTTGCCGAACAGATTCATGATAATTCGACGCACGGGACCTGGCTGGGTGTAGAAACCCCACGATGGTCGTGAGTCGATGACCAGGAAAACGTCGACGTCTCCGATCTTCGTTGACAGATTCCCTGTCTTCTTCGATGGAGCTTGAAGCTCCTCCAGGGCTTGCATGGTGTCCATTCGGCGGATAGATGTGTGGCCAGGTCGTCGAGGTGTTTGGCTAGATGACTGGGCAAGGGAGACCTGTTGAAAATTGAATCCGGCGTAGACACTCTCTAGAACCTCTTCAGCCAGAACATCTAGCTGCACAACCTTCCTTGACGGCTTCGAGGCTATGCTAACGGACGAGGATCTGTTGATACCACTTCCGTCTGCCTGGGTCTCTCGAGTTGCTTCTTGAGGTAAAGCCTTGTTAACCTTGGAATATTCAAGTAAATGGTCTATCGTATCGGACAGTGTTCGGCAGCATGTTTCGATGATCCTAACAATGTTTTGTTGTGGAATAGTCAGTTCTGTATCGTTAAGCAACTCAACGCTCAGAACAGCACCATGAAGCGGTGATCTCAACTCATGAGACAGTGACCCAAGGGCATCAGTCTTGGCCTTGTCGGCAGCTAGGGTTTCCAGTTTGAAAGCCTCGGCCGCTGCGAGCATACCAAGAGCTCTGAGATAACTCAAGTCGAGGTCGATTGTGAAGGTACGCTTGATATTGTAAGTGTGAATAAAGCCACCAGCAGACCATCGTTTCTTCCTCAGGTCCCAGACAGGAACGAATGCAATGCTTCGAGCACCAGGGAACGTTTCGAGGAGAATATTTGCTTCTCTCTGCTGAACTCGAAACCTGTGGTCTTGTCTGTTATGTAAGTTTCCCCAGTCATTGTTGTTTTGTTGATGACGAGTCGAATCATCAGGCAGTTCTTCTTGGAGTAGATTTCCATCGGTGTCGTAGTTGAACACATGGCCTCTGGGGTATTGTCGAATCATCCTGGCGAGAAGAGCTTGTGGGAGAGCAATACGAGCTGCCTCATGCTCGGAAGAGCCGAGTGCCTGACAAGAGGGTCTTAGGCGTTCATCAGAAGAGACAGTTGTGTAGGCATCCTCACTCTCATTGTAACTGAATGTTGAAGGTCTTCGAGTCGCCAGGTCCTCGTCTATCCATTCTGTGGAAGAGCCTGCACTTGAAAATTCCAGCATGTCTGCATTGAGGAACAAACACCCATCAGTCTCAATAGAATCCTTGACGATTGAGGCTGCTTTTGAGAAGATTTGCTTTGGAGTTTCGAGGAGCTGGCTTGGGTCATGGGCAAACTTCGATCTGGCCTGAGGAGCGCACACGATAACATCTTTGGTGTGAAGAGCGTTTTTCGTTTGGGAGTCGGCTGTGGCAATCGAGTTTCTGACACTCATTCCTCCCAAAGCTTGCTGCAAGTCGTCGATTCTTGGCCTTGTATAACTGGCAATACCGTCACCTCTCGTCTCATGCTCTGCATACTCTCGTCCGGTAGAGGAGACTTGGCTCAGAGGTGCTGTGTTCCCCTCAACAAAACTTGTCAAACCCCAGCTCTTTCTTTCGCTCCTTCGTTGGTGGCTTCTCAGGCTGATGGTCTCGAGATGTTCTGTCACGGCTCTTGAAAGCTCTCTCATAAGTCTTGAATGTCTATCCTCCCATGGCAACGAAGGTTCGGTATGGATTACGCAGATAACTCCAATATTGACACCTCGATCTGTGCGAATTGGAACTGCAGCGTAAAATCTTGCGGCGCCTCCAGGTCGACAGTACGGTTTAGTTGAGTACTCGGGATCGAGAGTAACATCATCAACTACAATGACGGGCAAGTCGTGGTTGACCCTTGGTCCAGATTCATCTGATTGAATTTCATCGGAGCATAACGTGCTTTCACAAGCACTATGTGATCGCGGGATTGCAGTTCCACAATGCCAAAGAGTTTCCGGGTGACCGTCCGGTCCCAAGCTTGGAATCAATGGGGTTATCGATGAAGCTTCCGCGATGATATACTGATGAGTCTGATCAAACAATGAGATCATTGCGCGCGCTGCACCAGTTTGAGAAGCTGCTAGACGAGCCAGAGCCGTCAATATGACATCGGGACACGTGGAGAGCTCATTGCTCGGAACAGGCAATCCAGTATCGTTGAAGCGCACATTGGTGAAAAGCGAGTCGTCGTACCTACTTAGATCTCAGTAACATAACTCAATGTTTCTAGGATGAAATTGCCTCGTTACCTGAACGTCTCGCGCTCCCGAGTAGCCTCAGAAACGATGCTTTTCTTGGGCACCTTTACACGAGCTGGACTGGCCATTCTCAGCAGTGCGTGCACATTCGAAAAGAATCTTCAACGGTATCTCCCAACGGTCATTCTCACCATTTGTAAAAGACGGAAGAAGAGCATTGAAGGTTGGGTTCCTTGGGCTTGCCCCTAGAGGCGAAACGCCGAGGACCGGGAGGTAGAGTTTAGCTAGGGTGAGTCTAGAGTCTAGAGTCTAGACTCGGCGATTATGCTAGAATCGCCACAAAGCGGCGATCGACAAATCTGCGGTTGAGCTGGGGACGCGAGTCTCAGTCCAAGTGGAGAATCATGTCATAGTCACCCCCTTTAGTTCATGTCTTCAGCTTTGGATTGGTGGCTGCTCCTCCGTTTAGAAAGCCACGATACGGGCTGTTGATTGAAACAGGTTCACCCGTCTGTGCTGCCGTTTCCACCGATCAGATGACTACCGTTTCTAGAATCTTTTCGTATAACAACAAATAATTACTGTTATCCTCGCGGTTAGCCTATGGGTTTGGCGTTGACATATAACTACCGCCTGAGAAGAAACTGAGATCAGATCCCTGTCCAGTGGCTGTGGCTGTGGCTCACTCCGTAGAAACGGATTGCCACGCTATTTGGCTTTGTGTGTACCGAGTACAACATACGAAATTATGTTTGCATGACTGCGTAACAGAGCATAGACACCCCTATCACCATGTAATCGACTCTCTCGCAGGCTTCTGTCAACGGCATTGCCTCTGTTAACCAGTTCGACAAGATCAAACACCTTTCGTCCATTTGAATGTGTGTCACGTGAAACTGGTAGCTTCCGATGTTTTAGACTGAACCTCGGTTGAGCTTTTGCATCATTGATCGGCATCTCTCCTATGGCTGAAGGAAGCCTATTCTAACCTCATATATCGCAAAAGTGCAAGCTCGGATTTCTCGTTCAGACCTAACTTCCACTGAGATCACAATGGCTCTTCAATTCTCCCTATCTCAGGCTTCTCTAGCAGCAGCCATCCTAGGTTCAACTTACGGAACCTACCTGGCTCTATCTCCTCCCAATCACAGCGAACATTCAGCACCATCAACGGGCGACTCAGTTCGGTGGCTGTTTTTGACGACAAAGCATGCCACAAAGGTCGTCTTGGCCCCTCTTGGGCTGCTATCACTGCACACTGCTAGCCTGGCTTTGCGCCACCCCAATATCCCTCGATCTCTTATTCATCATGGAATTGAAAATGGGCTCAATCCAGACCTGGTTACATGGTCTGCTGCAACTACGATTCCTCTAGCTCTAATCCTCTGTGCCGGTATTCCTCTACGTTTGGTACCGTATGCATCACTGGGCAAAAACTTCACATTTGCTCTGAAAGAGCCAGATCGACTGAAAACTACCGGTATTTATCAATATCTCCAACACCCAAGTTATACTGGGTTTGCTATTCTTATGATATCCAACGTGGCGCTGCTTGGTAGACTGGATGGTGTTTTGAGCTGCTGGGTTCCTCCCAATATCTATGAGACCTTCTGTTCCTGGGCTATAAGATTGCTTCCTTTCACTATATCAGGTATCATGTTTGGAGTGTGGACCAGAGTATCTGAAGAGGAGAAGATGCTCAAGGGGGCCTTCGGGAAGGAGTGGGAAAGTTGGCATGCACGAACAGCTCGCTTTATTCCTTTTATTCTTTAGTTAATTTATATCCTTCATAAGTCAAAGTGCCGACAAGAATGACCTTGGCTTCATACTATGCTTGACCGCGGAATGTGTAAATTTTCATTTGACGCTCTCATAAGGAAATAGAGAAGATCTCCGACAAGACGCCATAGTGATAAATAGAGTGAATAATGGTTTTTCGTGTATAGATGCAGTATGTTCTTAAAACGACAAGATCACAAGATATATGTAACTTGGAACAAGAAACTAAATAGTCGAATAAATCAATACTAAACTCTGTCCAATCCAACATTTGCTTCAAATTACAACTGTATGTTCTGCAACTCTTTTTCCCAGAGTTCACCGATGCCATTCAGATGAGCCATAAGATCGTCCGTTCGTTGCTCTCTCAGCAAGGAAGTTATCTCAGAATGAACGTTAGAAAGCCCCGGCCAATGCTACGCCTTTCAGGTCATTTCGTGGAAAGCTGTAAGTGGTCGTTGATTCACCTCAGCATGATCCTCTGCCATTCTTTCCACCTTGATGACAGTTGCGTGCTAGTTACCCAAAAACACAGCATTCTCATTGCTCCTCTTCGTACTTATGATGGCCGTCTCCGGTGCTCTCACATCCTAGAAACTTCGGCATGCGTTGCAGCCGGGGACGCTGAATGATAGTCCCGTCGTTATGGGAAGCCTGAGCTGGTCGTACAAGCTGAGTATCATGGCTTTCTCGGGTTTCTTGAGCGTCAAATCTTTCTTCCTCCTTACAGAATCTCGAAATCTCGCATGTCATCTGAAAATGACAGTGGTTCTTGGCAACCATGTGATGTTGAATCCCTTCCAACGTGCGGCGTTGCTTGCCGCAAAATATACATTCGTAGCAGTCGAATACGATGCTACGAAGGCGTCTTACAAAAGATATAGCAATGTCCTGACTTTTCTGGGTTGGGATGGTGAAACCATGGCATGCCTTCATGTGAGCCATATTATTGTCAAAGTTCGAGCTCGTGTGGCGGCAAAAGAGGCAGAGTTCTTCGTTAAATTCTGGAGTCTCTACCTCACAGACCTCTGACCAATCTCCTGTACTTTCTTCCGACGGCTCATCCCATGATTCCTTGACTCGATCCCAGTTTTCCATAGCTTTGTCCATGACATAACGAGGAATAGATGGGCCACTATGTCGAATTTGGATCTTGAAAACACTAAAGGTTGGTTAGCGTATGTAATATAGCGAGGAGAAGATATAGAACTTACTGTTATTTAGACTTTGAGTGCTCCCGGTGCTCCTCAAAAGTATTGAAGTTGATGCAGCATGTGCTGCACCAAGGCTTGCCAAGTTGCATGTTGGGAGAATGGTGAAGACTTGGAGTTACAAGTTCGGGTTGTTCTTTGGAGATGTCTCTTTATTTTAGAAACAAAAGGGTACAGAGAACAAAGAAAAAAGAATAAGAACAGTAGTTGTCCAAATTGTCTATGGTACACTTGACTTGGGTTTGGGGTTTCCTGAGAGATTATAAAGGAAGAAGGAATTTCTCAGCTCAGATGTTCAAAGAGTGCCTCTTATAGTCACTCCTGAAACCTTTGACTACGACATGAACTCGTTTAAATTTTTAGAAAGTCGATCAACATCATCTTGTGGTCAGGCCAAGACAATAAGTCATGAACATCAAGATGGCTCCGAACAGCACGGGTATCAGGAGCCAACGAGAGGAGCAGAGCAGGAGAGCTAACTTTTACTGACAGATCACAACTTTAAGTTTAAAAATAAAACGGTCAGATGTTCTACCAAGCTGCTCAGCATGATAGGCTACTGTTATGAAACGTAAACCTTATGATGTTTAAGAGAAACTATACTAAAGGCAAAATGTGAGATGCTTCAATGGAACAAACTTAGTTCTGTCTAACTTTTATAACATATCACCGTTCCCTCAGTACCTTGAGTATCGCAGTGGCCAATTCTGCGTTTTTCGTGAATAAGTCCAACTCATGCTCCGGGTACCCAGATTGAATAGCAATCACGGCGTCCAACTTTGGAACTACGTAAATAGACTGGCCATACATACCAATCGCCGCAAACGCACCATCGTCTCCCATTTTATACTCCTTGCCCCCCCTGCCTGTCGTCCACCAACCACTTTCGTAGCCAAAGTTGGAGACAAAGTTATCCGGTTGAAGAGCTCTGGCCCCAACACTGTTCTTAGCATCAGAAATGTCTTGGAACCAACCAGGTGGTACATTGGGGCCTTTCCCTTCGTCTCTGAAACTTTCGAGAATGAAACATCCGAAGCGTGCCATATCTGTCAAAGTTATCGACAGACCTCCGTGACCGTCCACGTGTCCTGCGCCTGTTGTTCGTATGTACCCATCGTATTGCATTCCAGCAGGATCCCATATCGTGCGCGAGATGTATTCATTCAGAGGCTCTCCAGTTGCACGTGAGATCGCCGTCGACAGCACATAATAGTTTGGGTTGTAGTAGTGAAACTCTTCCCAAGGCTCAGCCACTTTCCTCGACGTCTTGAGCCAGTTGATAACAGCTTCGGGGTCCGTTTGGGGATACAGCTCAGTGGCATACATGGGATTCGGCACATCTGCGGGTCGCTCTTCTTCTGATTGTTCAACTACCCCTGAAGACATGCTGGATAGAGCAAGAAGTGGCACGTCTGCCCAAGCAGTTCCTTTCAGTTCTTCGACATGGCGAGATACTGAGTCGTCAACAGATAGTTTTCCTTCTTGTTGCGCAATGGCCAGAGCTGTGGCAACAAACGACTTCGTGACTGACTGAACGTCGTTACGAGATGCTTGAGAGTTTCCGTGCCTGTATTCTTCGAGTTTTATGGCTCCATTCTGAACGACAACGCAGCCAGTCAATCCATACCGGCGCATGAAATTGTTGAGATCGATCCCAGAGTTTTCTTTGATAGCTTCAGCTGTATTTAAAGAAGTATCTCGAGTAAGGCGTCTGAGATATGAGCCATGTCTGACTTGCGTTGTTCGGTTCTGGAAGGTTTCTTCGCGGAGCCGATAGAGAAGCGGAGTGTACGCTGGATCAGCCGGGTGAATAGATGATAAGCTGAATTTCCCAATATGATCACTCAAATGTGGCAAGTCTCCCATCTTGATTGTAAGTCTTCAAACTTCGATAAGTCTAATAGAGGAAGCTCAGTATTGTTGTTACTGAGATTTTCAGGTTTGGCTATTTTGAGGTCGGGTCGCATCCGAAGCTACATAACGGAGATGGGTACCGGGATTAATAAGAGGTTCATCAGACCTCCAATCATGATTTATCATTAGCTTTTGTGGTGTCCACTCAAAGTGCCTGTTATCGGCAGACTCGGCCGAGCCAAACCGGCTATTTTCCTCCGAACTCTGAAGTTGGCATCTAATGCTCCAACCTGTGATAGTACGAGGACTTTGAATTTAGTTTGCTAGTAATCTTCTTGTATGCAATTACTAAGTTCGACTATGTTGCGCTGCATCCATGGGGGTACACTTATACAAATCTCAAAAGATTAGCCTTGCAATATTACGACGATCACGTCAACTCCATTTGCAATGCTGTGCTAGAAAGAGTGATCGGATACGTCAAAGGATCTCCAGGATATCTGTAATATTACTTGAGCTAACCCCCACTCTTGATTGAAAACACGGCATTGATGGTTATATAATCCTCATGTTGGGGTAAGGGAGCGGGATCACTTCTGACTCCGACACTATCAATTCATTCTCTGTAAACAACTCATCATGCTAGAAGTCCATTGCTCTGGCACGCCTTATGAGGTAAAGAACTTCATTCTTGGAATATCCTAATCTAAGCTAAGAGACTGACTTAATATTCAAATACAGATCGGCCATCGACATGGCACAGCTGCGAAAGATAGGGTTGTTGGGTCCATCGCCTTTTACAAAGATCTTTTCCAAGAATCATGCGCCATGAACTGGGAAGCAGTGCGTCAAGAGGCTCAACAATACATCCAACCTCTGCGGAAACTATCTCCACGCTATGTTGAGGAGCTCCAAGGCTTAGCAGACGGCGCTGGCTTCGAGCTAGTTGATATCGTTGCTCTCAATGTTCGAACAGAGATCACATTTGGCTTATATACCCGAGTCCCGAGTGCACCTATCCAGACCGATGGCTGCACGAGTGCTGCGTATCGTCAGCCTAACGGGGAGGTTCTCCTTGCGCAGAACTGGGATTGGCAGCCTGAACAGGCACGTAATCTCTTCATCTGTCATATCTCCCAGCCTGGGACAGATATACCCGATATCTCCATGGTGACTGAAGGGGGTGTAATTGGCAAGATTGGCATCAACTCCTCTGGTGTAGGAACCTGTCTAAACGCTATCCGAGCTCGGGGCGTTGATAACACCAAACTTCCCATCCATCTCGCCCTGCGAACAGCTTTAGAGTCGCATTCGGCTCGCGAAGCAGCCGATAAGCTTTATGAACTGGGTACGGCTGGAAGTGGTCATATTCTCGTGTCAGATCCTTCTGAAGCTATAGGCTTAGAATGCACCAGCATAGGGATTAAAGAGATCAACTTTGACGGCAACGGATCACTTATTCATACGAACCATCTACTACTTGACCATCCCGGAGTAGATGAGCCCGGCTGGATACCAGATTCTACGGACCGCATCAAGCGCATCGCCCAGCTTCTTGATGAGAGATTGGCGAGTTTGACCATCGACCATTCTTCATTCTTTGACTTCTTCAAAGATGAGCAAGGGTATCCAACAGCGATCAACCGCGATCAATTCTCACCCGGAAACGGCAAAGCAACACTCTTCACCATTAACATGGACTTGGCCAAGAGAAAAGCGATTGTGACTATGGGGAGGCCGACGAATTGGACTGAGAGAATTGAACTATTACCAGGCTTAGCTTAGGCGGAAGAGCATACTTATAAGCCTTTTAATCGAAATGAAGGAAAAACATTATTATTTCCCTATTTTCATCTCTGAAAAGTAGTTAAAGTCATCTCATGAGACCACATTCAGTTCTGAACCTTGTAAAACTGCGGCATTATAAGATAAAGGTTGTGGCTAACTTTAACTGAAAACGCCGATGCATTCCTGCCATGAAACAGCGAGAGCTTATGGGCATAGAGTTTATTAAGAGGAACTTATAAAAAGCGCATAAGATTAAAATCATTAAAAAAAAAAAAGATATCTAAAACTTTCTGATCTAAGTCTTGCCCCCTCACTCCAGGTGGATGCCAGGAGGATGCAGGGTAGCCTGCTTTGGACTGTCTTAGACGGTGTGTCATTAATCCGTTCCGCGAGATCTGGCCTTATCATGTATCCGAACACCTAGAAATCATGATGAAAGTTGTCGTTGCATTGCTCGACACCTCAAGCTTATTCCCTGAAGTCCGTCGCCATGGTAAGCTAGATTGAACAAACTTCCAACTGTATATCCGCTGACGCCAAACTTAGAACATCGCCTACAACTCCGCCTTGCGGCAAAGCAAGTCTCTCCGCGCAGAGCTCTCCAACCTCAACAGCAAACCTCAAGCATCTCCCTCCGAAATTGGCAACGTGTCCGCCTCAATCGCTTCCTTCACCAAGACCCTCGATGAATACCAATCCCTCGCCCGTCAGGAGATCGTTCCCAAGAAGCAAGAAGAGGGCTTTGAGCGAGTAAAGAGGTTCCGCGAAGATCTCTCTGACTTTCGAACTCAAGTCGATTCGCTGAAGAAAGTTCGTGATGATGCCCAACACCAGGCCAATCGCACAGAACTTCTTGGCCGAAGACCGTATAATGCTACACCCGAGAACCCTTATGCGAACGCTACAACCACAAACACGCACTCTGCGTTCCAGCCTCGACACCCACCTCAAGCCAGCGCCTTGACAACCGGCTCACCAGACGAGATGCGCGAGGCACACGCATTCAGGGAGCAGAACTTCTTCGCAAACACAAATCAAGCGTTAGATGACTACATTGCGCGCGGACAGGCTGTACTGGGCGATCTAGGCCAACAGCGGGAGATGCTCAAGAGCACCCAGAAGCGACTCTACAACGTCGCCAACACCCTTGGCGTAAGCGGCGATACGATCCGTATGGTAGAACGACGGGCAAAGGAGGACAAATGGATCTTCTTTGCGGGCGTCTTGATATTCTTCCTGTTTTGTTGGCTGGTGCTCCATTTCTTGCGGTAGAAAAGAAACCGAACTGGGCTTCAAGTATTTGGAAGAGGAATGTCACAGAAATGTACGCTTAGGGGTATCAGCGCGGCGCATGGAGTTTTTGAGTGTCTTGTGTTGTCTTTTTGCTTGTACCATACCACGCCAAGTCAACATGTTCTTTGTTGAAGCACTATGCTATTCGTCATCGCCGTCGCCTTCTTTGAGTGCTACTGTGAACAGCACATCCTTGTCCGTCGTCACTGAAACAACCTGAGACTCGGGCAGGATATGATTGCTAGTACTCAACTTGCCACCAATCTCAGTATGCCAGTTCTCGACATCCCACTCGAAGCCCTTTGTCGTGATGTTGGCAGCCTCCTTGAGAGGAATGATACCAACATGCTTGCCGAAGGCATCTTCCTCTCCCTCCTCGCGAACCTGGATCTGATGACTACCAGCCTTGAGCAGGAATGTCAAACTTGAGCCGGAAAGTAGAAACAGTCGACCGGTCGCATAATCGGGGTCGTTTTGGAAGAGGTACAGGTGGTGAAGCTGAGAAAGACCCTGGTCGACTCGGCCCCCAATGCCTCCAAGTGCGACGATGTCGATGCCTTCGGGGTGTTCCTTGCGAATCCAGTTGATAGCCTTTGCAAAGTCGGTCGACTCTTGGTCAGCGTCGTGGATGACTGTCGCAGGGGAGGGTTGCGACGAGTAGAAATCGCGGACTTGTGGGGTGAGAGAGTCGAGGTCGCCAATGATGAGTTGCAAGTTAGACTATAGGATTAGCAACCATTTAACATTATCGTCCACGAGCAGTATCGCAACGTACGTATTTTCCGTGGAAAGACGACAGCTTGTGTAGACGATTCGCTCCACCATCGGCGGCTACTCTCACGGAAGCTGTGAAATGGACGTTAGGCACTGAGACCGCAAGAGCAGCATGTCAAGCTACGTACAGTTCTTCCAGAGCTTGCGCAAATTGACGCCGTTCTTCAACGGCTGGTTTAGAATGAGCAGCGCAAAATCCTGGCCTATGTTATAGTCCTGGAGCAGCTTTGCCGGACGCCATTCGAAAGATTTGGACGCCATGATTGAGGATATATCTCTGGTTAGTATGCGACTTGCAATGGGTAGAAAAAGATGAAGTTGATGCGATCTAAATTGTCGTGTCCCTTGCGTGATATTCGCAAGTTGTTAGGTCAAGAATGATTTTGCTTTTTCCTCTCCCTGAGAAATGGCGAGACAATGTCTAGCTCGAGAAACTTCCCCTCGATTCCTGTGCGACAGCTTTCTCCCTTTCTTTCCTTTGTCTTCTGCTGATCACTTGAACCAACTTGTTTGACAAAACAAACTTTGGTCTACTGTAACAGCCACAATCTAGGTCGAAAGTCAAAAAGAGATCTAGACGCAGCCTGCACGTTAAGCCCTATGAGGGTATAGAAGCAGCTCATATGATCAGGAATGAATGCGCACTACCTGGATCCAATAGTTAGGTAGAAGCCGATGGTGGGGGAACGTCATGGTGCGATAAGGCTGTTATCAGATAAAGAGCACGGACGGTTAAATTACGGTTACACTTTTTTTCACGCAACCGGCCGGCATCTCGGAGACCAGGGCCAAGTATTTCCAAGCATCATACTCCAAGATTTCGATGCTCCACCATTGCTGACCAATTCCTCTTGTATTCTTGATTTTCTTTATTGACCTTCGCTCCTTTGTCGACTTCTGTAATTCAAAATGTATCGTACCACTATGCGATCGGCCTCGAGGCCTGTAATTGCCAGCCTGCGCTCGAACACGATCCGCGCAGCCCCTCGACGATTTAACTCGACAGCAACTCCCGCCGACAAGTCCCGATCATGGAAGAGCTCTGTGGCACGATTGGGTCTGGCTTTCGGTGCTGTCTATTACTATAACACAAGTCCCATCTTCGCTGATGAGGCTATCTGTGCGTTGCAGTGATGCTCAGAATTCGAGATTATGCGACTAATATGGGACAGCAAAAACGGTTCCCGCACCCGCTGCCTTTTCCGACGATGACCTCCCCACTGTCGACTCTGTCCTCGAGGAGAAGCGCAAACAGATCAAGGCCAAGAGCGAGAAGCCCGCCGACTCATCAAAGCCCTCCAAGCCTCAACAATCCAACACTCAAGCCGCTGCCGCCGATGGATCACCTGCTGCCTTAGAAGAGGAGGCCGACCAGCAAGGCGCTTTCAACCCCGAGACTGGAGAGATCAACTGGGATTGCCCTTGCTTGGGTGGTATGGCCGACGGCCCCTGCGGCGAGGAGTTCAAGACTGCGTTCAGCTGCTTTGTGTACTCGACCGAGGAGCCCAAGGGTATGGACTGTATCGAGAAGTTCCAGTACGTCATATCGGACCATGGTCTTGTTTCATAGCTTGCTAACTCAGTAACAGGGGCATGCAAGAGTGCTTTAAGAAATACCCAGAAATCTACGGCGCCGAGCTTGCCGATGACGAGGAGGGTGCTCCCACTCCCGATTTTGGCGATGAGCAGCCCGCCCCCGACGCTCGCAAGGCTCCTGCTACCGACAAGGCACCCGCTACCGACTCCAAGTCTCTTCCCGGAGATTCCTCTGCCGCAGATGAGCTCGATCAAAAAGCTCCTTCTCGAGCGACTTCCAACGAAGCCGAGAAGGAAACCCTGGTTAACGGATCGCGAAAAGTCCAGGATGTCGCTACCCCCATAGAGAAGCCACATAACCCAGAGTTGTGGCAGGATATGCACAAGTCCGAGGTCCCTGTAAAGGAGGTTTTCGTTGAGCCTTCACAAGCGCATGATGCTACTGCTGCCAATGCTGAGATCAAGATCATTGAGCAGGAGAGAGAAGCCAAGAAGAAGGCGGAGAAGAAGCAGTAGAAGGTGTAAAATATTGGCGCTGTTAGGGAGAAGAACAACATTTTGTAAAATATTTAGGATCTTGATATGGGCGAGTGTCCATCTGTACCAATGTTCTATGATGAGAAGGGACAGAAGCCACGAAATTAATAGACACGATCACATCTCAATGCTTTGGTTTTTCGTATCTGCAAACCAAGTTTGCGAAGTCTGATTTGACAAAGGGATTGTTGAACATAGGTATCAATTCTTATGCCTCCAAACGTAAGAGATGAGTAGTAGCCTGGTATCAGCCAGAGTAGAGAATTATGAAACAAAGTGAAAATGCAGTAAAACAAAAAACTATATCATATCATCCATCAACAACGTTCGTTTCTTTCAGCGTTCAAAAATTACAAGGCAAGGATTTGCCTGTTTAGATGCTTTAGGCCTCAAGAAGACCGTGGCTCGTCAGGCACATCGGCAATTGCGTCGTTTTAGGGTATCATCGCCGCTCGACTCTTAGTTGCCGCCCTTCTTGCCCTTGTACAGATATCGTCCAACAGCACCCTCGGCAGCTGTCACACCAGCGAGGATCCCAGCACCGAGAGTGACGGCCTTCCAGTCAAGTTTGCCCTTCTCGTAGAGACCCCAACCCTTGTAGCCAAGGTATGCTCCCAGACCAACGACGGTAGCAAAGTTGGCAATAACGAGGCCAGTAGCACTTCCGTCTGACAGGCGAGAAAATTGTTGGATGAGCCAGTTGTCGGCGCTCTTGGCCTTGGCGGCAGCCTCGTTACGCTTTCGCTTCTCCTCGCGCGCCTCCTCTTCTCGCTCTACGCGAGCAGCCTGGGTCTCTGTCTTGATCTCCTGCTCAAGGAAGTCGTTGGGGACAGTGTGCACGCTAGGCATATCAACATCGACCAAAGAGGCGGTGGAGGCGGACTCGTCAGTGATGACCTGAGGAGGTTGAGGGGCAGCAGCCTGGAGGGGTTAGCAAGAGGGGTCGCAGAGATAGGATGCTGTATGCAAAGCAACTCACCTCCTCGGGGCTCTGCTTGGGGCCACTGGCAGCAACGTCGGCGTAAGACACTGTGATAGAGTCAGTGATCTGATGTTGGGCACAAATACGCTACAGTGACGTGTATACTTACTGATGGTAAGGCGGGGTAGAGAGGGGGATAAGAGAGTAGACTTGAGTTGCTGGGGATGAATTATCCTGTTGTGTTTGTCGCAAAGGGCAAGTTTGATCGAGAGAAACCAAAGAGTATTGTGACCGAGGAAAAGATGGAGGGAGAAGATGGCTCTTCATGTGACGCAGATCATGAAGCCCGCACCTTTTGAACCTGAGCTTCCGCAATCCGCCGATGACGTATGCGGCTCGAGACCCACTTAGACGCTCTCCTTCAACAAGGAAGCAGGATTTCCCTTGGCTCGGGAGAAATTGGAGTCAGGAACAGGAGCTGGGGCAGCGAATCAGAAGAGCCAATTCTTTGCTGATGCTGATCAAGTTCCAGTGACAGTCGATTAATTGATGACTTGCTTATTCCCTAGAATCCCTACCACCCCTTCCAAGGAATCCATGTGTCCCTCACAATGCCCTGCTCATCAACAACATAATACACGTAAAACGCAGCCGCGGCTATACAAGCGTGATTGCACCACAGCTGAACCTTTCGTCCGACCTTGAAATCCTCATCGACCTTTCGTCCCTCGCTCGTCCCAAGGATCCCATGCTCCTGCGACAATCGGGCCACACCCCACGCCGGACTGCCCACCACTCGGCCGAATCCGCTGAAAGCGCTGGCCTCACGCGACAGCGCGATCACACCTGCGTTGACGAGCGCTTCGTTCCTCTCCGGGTACACGCTACATACTTCAGCGGCTACAGACACGGATTGCTGTGTCTCAGTCACAAGGCCAGTTGACACTTGCTGGAGATCGTTGCAAGGGAAGTTGCCTGCGTGGAGCTCCAGCTTGATGTTCTCTGGCATCGATGCCTTGAGGCTTTCGACGACATGCGCTGTTGGTGTGCTGCCGACGGAGATGACAAGCTGGCGATCAGAGGGCAGAAGCTTAGCCGCGGCTAAGACGCTCGACACTTCTATGTTGAGCGTCTTCTCGGCCTCGTCTCGCGATCGACCTCCATACGAATGCCCCGCGTGACAGTAGAATCCGTAGATACTAATGGCAGGCGACTTCTGTGCGCGCTCTACCAAGCTGTTCAGTGCCGCACTGTTGGCCTCAACGCCTGCTCGGCGCGATCCCACATCGAGCTTGATAAAGACATCCCAGGGCTGCTTGCTTGAAGCCGACTCTTCGAGAAAATCAACCTGTTGCTCATTGTCGACCATGAGCATGATACGTAGTGATTTTCGCAACTCAATCAACCTTGGCAGGATACCAGGATAGACAGGTAGGCCGTACAGACACTGCGGAATATTCAGTACTTCTCATCTTCCTAAATCTTCGGCGAAACTCACCTCTTCCAAGATGCCCTCGTTCACCAGGGGTAAAGCACCTTGGATCTCAGGGATGGTGGAGGCAATGATTCCTCTGTATTTCCCATCCGCCATCATTAACCTTGTCACCTCAAGAGACTGCAGAACATCGGATCAGTTCATAATAAGTCAAATTTTATAGGCGCAACATACCTTCAAAGTCTTGACATGAGGTCTGAAGCCAATGCCGAGCTTCTCAACATCGCGATGTAACGTCTCCACATTCGTCTTGAGAACAGGCAGATTGACAACCAGGGATGGTGTAGGAAGCTCTGAGACGTGCTTTCCGATGTAAGCCTTATGATTCTCCAGTGAATAGTCCATCTTGAAGAGCTGTCTGAGTCGCTTTGGCTCAATGATCAATGTGTTCAACGTGGGGCAAATCCAGCAGTGCGGGGAGTGATGTCGAGCACACTGAGAAGCGTCTGCTCGACTTTATACTTCTTCTGCTTCAGTTGAATCACGGACCCGAGGTATTATTTCACTGATGAGCGGTATTTACAGTGATGACGACCTTACAATTTGAGTATAGATAGATAGTCAAGGTGGTTTCCGCGGCGGGCTCAAGTTCTAGCGCCGATAGTTTTCCGCGGGCAATTACTAACAATAACTGACGATATGCCTCAGCATCAACACAAAGCTTCACCACAAACCTCGAGACCTCGAAATCCTGTATCCTACGATGGAATTCCTTTCTCCCGTATCGATCGAAGTCACAGGTTCTGAGAATCATGCCGTATCTGATTATGAACGTACCCTCAACACCATCTGGCTTATCAAAGTGGAGCCCTGTGATCATCAAGAATGGGGCATCAGGGAGAATGAGACTTCTAACAGTCAACCAAGATGTCAAAGACGAGACTATAGTCCGAAGGCCCTCTAATTCTATCATGAATTTTGCTAATTTGTACTGCAATTGCCTAAATCTTGTGCTTTTCAGGATAGTAGTTAGACGTTTTGCCTCTCTCGAAGAAGTTCAGACCACCAATATCTCAGCTTTCCTAGATGATGGAAGTTCGAAGAATCTTGCGTCTTCGAATGGACATGAAGTCCTAGGTAACATACTCGGGGCGCTTCGTGATATGCTGTAACCCTCGAATTGTTGCAATGGTCACGCCCAGAACTTAGACTGAGGTTAGTTGTAGTCTGCCTCACTCGTTCCTAACTCCAATGCAGTGCCAAGTCCTGTTGGTCGAAACATCATCAAGATGCATAGAACCATTATCGACTTGAAGCAGGCTGAATAATTGGCTTCGTAGAAAGGTAAGATAGTGATTCGATCAGCTTGCTACACCGCCTGCATCGACCCAGCACGGTGAAGACCATGTATGACTTCAAGCTTGCCCAACAGTCTGGGATTTCCAGGAATAAGGCACTGTGTTTATGCCTTTTCTCAACAATTCAAACCTCTAAAAATATATCCACCTTCGATACTTATCCAACAAGTTGAGTCATCCCGCAGTCGGAGTCGGAGAAGAGTGCCGTCTTACAACCAGCCGCCAACTGACACAACTTATACCGGAAATAATATCGTCAGTCTCCATTAGCGAGTCTCCAGATCAATTTCTCCAACCAATCGTAAGGCAAGTTGTACTACAAAGTAGTGGTTGATTTGCTGCAGAGCACACCCTCAAGGGCTGGTGCCGAGTCGGCACCGAAAGATGTGGATTCTAGCACTTGCGATCCAAACAGAATCGAATTCTAGCATTCTACCCTGCTTCTCAGATCGTTATTTATTTCTTCTTAATGTCACTAATTCTTCTTTTTTCTCAATGACTAAAATGACATTGTTCTGCCTCTTCAGTAAAACTTGAAGAGTTATTGGAAGATGAGTGCACCGAAACAAGACGACGACCATATTGGCGATAGCGAGAGCACTCACACTCGTGTATCAGACCAAGATCCCGAAAAACAATCCAATGCGGAAATTGAAGTCCCAGATGCTCCTTATTCAAGCTTCTCACTATGGCAGAAGCGTCTCATTGTTCTGGCTGCTGCTTCGACAGCCCTCTTTTCACCAATGACAGCCCAGATATACTTCCCTGCCCTTCCAGCTATAGCCAACGACTTGGGCGTGACCACATCCCAGATCAACCTTACTGTCACGACTTACATGATCTTCCAGGGTATAACACCCATGTTCATTGGCTCACTAGCTGACAGTGGTGGAAGAAGACCTGCGTACCTGGTATGCTTTACCATTTACATAGCAGCCAACATTGGTCTTGCTCTGGCTCCTAGCTATGGTGCTCTGCTGGGTCTTCGATGTCTTCAATCTGCTGGATCTGCTAGCACTGTTGCTCTATGCTTCGCTGTTGTGGCTGATGTTGTCACCTCAGCCGAAAGAGGTCAGTACATTGGTCTGACAGCTGTTCCATCTGTGCTGGGTCCATCGCTAGGTCCAATTATAGGTGGCGTGCTCGCAGAGTTTCTAGGCTGGAGGTCAATTTTCTGGTTTCTCGCCATCTTCGCCGGTGTAGCCATCGTTCTTCTCGCTTTGTTTTACCCAGAAACATGCCGTGAGATCGTCGGAGATGGCAGTATGAAAGCGCCTTTGGTGTACCGTTCGGTATGGCAGATTCTTGTATCCCGACGGAAGCGGTCTGAGTCGGAGAAGAACGGTCTGAGTCGACAAGGCTCACGAGCTTCGACCGTCAAGAAGTTCAAGTTCAAGTTCCCCAATGTCCTCGACTCGATTTTGATGTTGTTTGAGAAAGAAACCGGTTTCCTTCTCGGCTTCAGCAGTATCTGCTTCGCAGGGTTCTACTGCATAGCCACCGCCATGCCTACCCTATTCAAGGAGATATATGGCTACAACGAACTTGAGATTGGACTAACATTCCTCCCCATGGCAGCTGGATCAGTCATTGCAGCATTCATCGTGGGTGCTTTTACAAATCGCAACTTTAAGCGGCATTGCGAGAAACAGGGCATCCCATACGAGCGAAGTAAGCAGCAAGACCTATCAGGCTTTCCAATTGAGCGTGCTCGTCTGGAAATCGGCTTTCCTCTCCTGATGCTCGCGGCTGCTACGCTCGTCTGTTGGGGATGGGCCGTTCACGCCCGGGCTCATATTGCTGTACCGTGCGTGCTGAGTGGAATCTTGGGCGTAGGAGTCGTTGGTTTTAACAATACAGTCAATTCGCTGCTGATTGACATCCATCCCAGGAAGGCTGGCACGGCAAGCGCTGCGAATAACCTGACGCGCTGCTTGATTGGGGCGGGAGCCAGTGCAGCGATTGTGCCCATGATTGATGCTATGGGTACTGGCTGGGCTTTCACCCTCGTTGGAGGACTCTATGTCCTAGGTTGTCCTATTTTGATCACTGTCATGGTACGTGGAGTTAAATGGCGCGACGAGTTGAGAGTGAAAGAAGAGAAGAAACAAAAGGCCGAGGATGCCCAAGAGTGAAGTTGAATAGAGTTTGCTAAGAAGCGACGAGCACCCAATGCAGGGATCTGATACATGGAATACAATGTAGAGAGTCTCGATCAGACTGGTTATCAACAGAGACAAATTTTAATAGAATAATTAATCTTTAATTTAAGGGTCAAATGATTTGTTGGTAATGAGAGTGTCGAGGTTATTATTGCTGAGAATGTGGGGATCACCTCTTTGACGCTCATCTTTTTACACCTGCAAAATTTGACCTTTCAACTGAATGGTAACACATTGGATCTTGTCAGTCCCGCCCGTTGTGATGATTCGCCCTTAACACAATGCCTTTCTCTTATTTTTTCACCGGGATCCAATCGCTCGGCAGTTTCTTGGCCCAGGTCCTCTCGCGAATAGTTTTTTCGTTATTCATCTTGACGATCACTATCGCCATCTACAGGGTATCTTTCCATCCTCTGGCCCGTGTTCCTGGACCAAGACTGGCGGCGATTTCAAGCTTCTGGCATGCATATAATGCTCGAATGGGGCGTATGGCATATCTTGGGAAGACGCTTCATAGAAAATACGGGCCTGTTGTGCGTGTTGGTCCTAATGAAGTATGGTTCAATAGCAAAGAGGCTTTTCATGCTATTTACAGTTCGTTTCTCACCTCGTGCACGACTGTCGACTGACAGTTTCACTAGGTAGTGGGAGTGGCTATGAAAAGTCCGACTTTTACTGTAATACCAAATTATTCACATAAAATAGCAAAGCGGGAACTGATATCTATCTATAGTGGCAACTGCCTTGAGCAAACCGAACATTGATTGGCATCTCAACCCTGAATTCCAAGATAATCTCGACCTTCTATCAGAGCGAGATGTGAGACGCTACCGTCTTCAGCGTCGACTCATTGGGCCTGTGTACCAGACTTCCAATCTGATTCAATATGAAGCTGCAATCGACGAGGTTCTTGCACGCTCTATCGCCAAGCTAAAGACATTGAACGGTGCTCAGGTTGAACTCAACGAGTGGATGCACATCATCGCTGTCGAATGCCTTGGTGCTGTCGTGCTATCCTGGTCGCCAGGGATGCTAAAGAATGGCACTGATAATGGCTCTGGTGCTCACGCATACCATGGCTGGAGACGAAAGAGTGTCTTTGGTTTGTTCCCGATGGCCGCTAAGTTGGAGTTCTTTTACAAGTCGATCGGGCGACTCTTCAGTACGATTTGGGGCGTAAACTTCCAACCGCCCAAGGACTTCCGGCCATTCTTCCCGGTGAGATAACCTCTCCAACCTCGTAAAATGTTGCGATGCTCATTAGCGTAGGATGTCGGCAAACGAGTCTCAAGACGTGTTAACGCAGCCACGAAGTCCAAGCTCAATAAAGATAATCGTAAAGATCTCCTAGCGGATCTGATCCAGCTGCATAGAACCAAGCCTAACTTTACAGAACTTTACCTGCGCAAGATGGCTGTGACCAACTTCGGTGCTGGGCATGAGACCATGGCATCAACACTTACCTCGATCTTTGCACTACTTGGCTCAAACGAAGAGGTTCAGGAACAAGTATCTCTTGAGATCCTTGGGACGAGTAATCCCGCCGAATACTCCACTGCACCACGCTTACCAGAGACGCAATCGCTCATCAAGGAAGCCAAGCGGCTGTATCCCGTCATCAGCATGTCATTGCCGCGCAAGGTTCCTTCAGAAGGTCTTCATCTCCATGACTACCATTTCCCACCAAACACAACTGTGGGCTGCAATCCCGTAGCTCTACATCGGAATCCAGATATTTTTGGGTCGGATTCGGATATGTTCAACCCAGCCCGTTGGTTGACTGCAGATCCTGACGCAGCACGTGCAATGGAACGTGTCAATCTCAGCTGGGGCGGCGGCTCTCGATCATGTCCGGGACGACATTTAGCAGAGCTGGTAGTATTTAAAGTCGTTCCAGCTTTGGTGAAGGAGTTTAAGATCGAGGTCGACTTGCCTCCCGAAGACAAGAATCGCTCGTATTTCTTGTCAATGCTGATAGGAGTCAAAGCCCGCTTCATTGAACGAGACGCGGAGTTAACATCAGTCGAAGAATGAGTGCTCAATCTTTGCGGTTTGTTTTTCACTATGATGCCCGTCTGGAAGGGTTGCTGGTGTGTCGGCTCCATCACATCTACCATCTGACTCCAGGTACGCCCTTCAGTCGACATACTCCGCATTATTAATGCATTTCTATAAGTACCCAAGAGATGGCTTTTGGATCGCTTTTCAAGCATACAAATTCATGGAACCACAATGGTGATACCAATCGTCACAGAGAACGCCCTGATCAAGGGAAGCCGTGTCGCTTATGGCGTTTACGGCACTGGAAAGCCAGTCGTTCTTATCCACGGCACACCGTCCTCATCCCTCATTTGGCGCAACGTTGTCCCAAAGCTTGTTGATGGTGGCTATAAGGTCCACGTCTTTGACCTTCTTGGCTTCGGCCTTTCAGAACGCCCATGGGACTCAGCCGTTGACACTTCAATGACAGGTCAAGTTGCAATCCTAGAGGGCCTGTTGGAGCTTTGGGGTTTGGAGAAGACTCATATCATTGCCCATGATATTGGGGGCGGTATCGCACAGCGCTTCTCTATATTCTCGCCTGAGAGGGTTTTGTCCCTAACTCTGATCGACGTCGTAAGCTTCGATAGCTACCCCTCGAAGCGAACCAAACAGCAAATGCAGAATGGCCTTGAAGCCCTGATTAAGACAGGCAGCGACCAACATCGAGCTCACTTCAGAGAATGGCTGTTATCCGCCGTCAAGAACCCAAATAAGCTTGAGAAGTCAAGTCTCAATACATATCTGGATTATATCTCGGGACCCATTGGGCAACCTAGTCTGTTTGAGCATCAAGTTCGACACTATGATCCGAAGCACACGTTAGAAGTGGCCCCCCGCCTCGGCGAACTGGAGAAACTATCTGTGCAGCTGATCTGGGGTGCCGATGATGCGTGGCAGGTGGTTGATTGGGCCCACAAGCTTCACAATGCTATTCCTGGATCAGAACTGATAATTGTGGAGGATGCTGGCCATTTCTCTCCTGAGGATCAACCAGAGAAAATATCAGAGCTCCTTATCAGCTATCTAGGGAAACATTGATGCCAACTCGCACTGATTAGACTAGATGGCTGAAATTAACATAATTGAAGGAGCCTTTTATTATCTCTATGTACCTATCTTTCCTCCACCTTAACTCAAACCCTTCTTAAGGCGTCATTTTGTGCTTCTTTAGCACGGTGATGCCATCTTGTACCAGGTGCAAGGAACTCAAATACGTGCGGCACTCCAGGCCAAAGATGAAACTCGACCTCAACATCGTCTTCCAATAGTCTTCTCACAAACTCAAGATCTTCATCCCTGAATAAGTCGAGCGTTCCGACGTCCACATATGTAGATGGTAGCCCGTTGTAGTTCTGAGACCTCGCTGGTGCTGCATACGGTGAAACATCTGCGTCTGGCTTCCCGGCCTTATCTTCACCAACATAAGCCTTCCATGCGAGCTGATTGTGTTGCGAAGTCCAAGTAGCGAGCTTAAGAAACTCGGTATCAGGAGGATGGCAGGTTCTGTCGTCAAGCTCAGGATATATGGCCATTAGCTTTGCAACTGGTGGATCGAGCTCCCTGTCCCTGGCCATGAGTACAGTACCGACAGCTATACCTCCGCCAGCACTATTGCCTTTCACGCATATCCGGGATGGGTCGATATTTAGCTCTTTCGCGTGATCTATGAGATACTTGAGACTTGCAAAGCTATCCTCCACAGCTGCAGGATAGGGATGCTCAGGGGCAAGGCGATAGTCAACCGCGAACACTGGCCTTTCAATTTCGAGCGCTATAGCGGCATTGGTTCCCCCACATATTTCCACAGTACCCGAGACAAAGCCACCGCCATGAATCACTAGAATTGAAGGTTGTGGTTCTTTCGCTCTCAGGACCTTTGGTGTTGCATACCGGCGAAGGAGTATTTGTACGCCATCATAGCTCTCAACCGTATAATCTGTCTGTTCAACGATATCATGAGATGGTGCTTTGGGAAACACTTTTAGAAATAGAGCGTGGTTGTTGTGACGCATTTCGAGGGCTGTCTCAGGAGGAGCTGGAGGTCGGCCGGATTTGATAAGAGCCAGCGCCTCGGCGAATTCAGTATCATATTGAACAGGCATGACAAAGTAGTAGGTATGTAATAATTGTGAGCTGCTGAGTTTTTTCTTTGGCTTGAGAGAACATTTAGGGTTCCTTAGGCCTTTATATACATATCTAGTCTACATGGTATACCGAGGCTGAAGGTTGAGCTGCTGTGAGGGGTACAAAGCAGTTCAACTCTGACACTGCCTGTCTAAGGTCGGCAATGGGGGAATAACATCACTCATCGGAACCATTGACCCGAGCGATTTTGTCATCACGAGCAAAATAAACTCACAGTACACATTAGGTTGAGGTTGAAGATGTCAGAGATTGGTTGTATGATTGGCTGGCTCGTACGGTTTCTCGTTTAGACAAGCTTACTGTAAGATCTCAGGGATGCCTGTAGCGCGCTGGGGTTATAGTTATTGGCTGCATAGACATAAGATTTGATAAGATTAGATCCAAGAGATTGAAAATAGTGCCCTGATTCAGGTTTGGGTCTGAGACATTTCTTTAAGTATCTTCCTTGTTACTGGGCTGTCCTCTGATGTCTCGATGGGATTCAACTGATGTTGCTGCGTTTTCAAAAACATTAATTCCTCATCGGCCTGAATCGTGCAGCATTAAGCCTAGATTAAGTCTCCCGCTGAAAAAGTGCTGAGGCAGCTACTGGTATTGTTGAGAAGGCAATGGAGACTTTTGGAAACAAATGGCGTGCCGTAAGGCCTCACGTGACGCTATCGGTGGATGACAAGCTCCGAGACGCCGGTCCATACCGTACTAAGCGTGGCGTGGGCCAAACCCATCGATTACCTCGACGAAAAGTACAGATCGCGACTTGCAGGTTGCAACCAAGAAATTGGGAAATTTAGCCACTCGGCGGGCAAACAACCGCAAAAACTCGAAGAGAGTCAAATATTCTATCTAATGATATAGTTGAAACTCGAAAATACTCCTCAGATCGAGATACGCCTATCTCGACCCCTTTCGCCCATCATGGCACCCCTCGTCGACAACCCCCAGATCAAGCACGCCGAGCTGCTGCGCCCGTTGTCATTCCATTTCCACGCATACATCTGGCCCTTTACTATTATCTGGCCCATCTTCTTCGCATTTTACTTGAGCCCCGAGCTCTACGAAAAGTACATCGGTGCGGAGGAATGGACTGTTGTCTGGGTTGGAACTATCATCACTCTGCAGTCTCTTGTCTGGCTCAGCACACATTGGAGTGTTGATCTTGAGGGCAAGTTCAAGGCCTCTAAGGCTAAGGATATCGAGAGTGCGGAGTTGATCAAGGTCATCCCTATCGCAAACGCCGGTTCCGCCGAGATTTGCAAGCTTGTTCGCGATAAGGTGGGGAGATTTTGATATTCAGAAACAACTCAAATTACTAACATCGTCGTTGCAGGCTGGTGGCAAGCTCAACACCTCGTTCCTCTTCCAGAAGCGGCGATTCCTCTACGATACCACTACCAAGTCTTTCACTACCCTCAAGTACGATATCGATGTCGAGCCTAAGCCTTCTATCGGCCACTTTCAGACTTCCAAGGGTATCCAAACCCAGACTGAGTTATCGCGAATTGAGCAACACTATGGCAAGAACGCTTTCGATATTCCCGTTCCCACCTTCACCGAGCTCTTCAAGGAGCACGCAGTCGCCCCATTCTTCGTCTTCCAGATCTTCTGTGTTGGGCTTTGGATGCTTGATGAGTACTGGTATTATTCGCTCTTTACTCTCTTCATGCTTGTCGTGTTCGAGAGCACTGTCGTCTGGCAGCGTCAGCGCACACTAAACGAGTTCCGTGGCATGAGCATCAAGCCCTACGATATGTGGGTGTTCCGTCTGGGCAAGTGGACCGAGGTACAGAGCGACGAGCTTCTCCCTGGTGACCTTGCCTCTGTCAACCGAACCAAGGAGGATAGTGGTGTTGCTTGTGATATGCTCTTGGTCGAAGGTACCGCTATTGTTAACGAGGCTATGCTTTCCGGCGAGAGTACTCCTCTCCTCAAGGACTCCATCCAGCTTCGACCCTCCGATGTTCCTCTGGACGCCGAAGGTCTTGACAAGAATGCTTTCTTGTGGGGTGGTACCAAGGTTCTCCAGATCACGCACGGAAACCCTGACCAGGAGAAGCCTAAGCTTTCCTCTGGTGTTCCACCTCCCCCGGATAACGGCGCCATGGCCATCGTCATGAAGACTGGTTTTGAGACTTCCCAGGGTAACCTGGTTCGAACTATGATCTATTCAACTGAACGAGTATCTGCCAACAACGCCGAGGCTCTCTTCTTCATTCTGTTCCTTCTGATCTTCGCCATTGCTGCCGCTTGGTATGTTTGGGATGAGGGTGTTCGCAAGGATCGCAAGCGCTCTAAGCTCATGCTCGACTGTGTCTTGATTGTTACCAGTGTCGTCCCCCCTGAGCTTCCCATGGAGCTTAGTCTTGCCGTCAACACCAGTTTGGCAGCTCTGGCTAAGCTGGCTATCTTCTGTACTGAACCCTTCCGAATCCCTTTCGCTGGCCGTGTTGATGTGGCCTGCTTTGACAAAACAGGTACCCTGACTGGCGAGGATCTTGTCGTAGAGGGTATCGCTGGTCTGGCTCTTGGACACGAAGATGAGATCAAGGACACCAAGGAGGAGGATGGTGCTCACTCTACCATGACTGCTGTCACAGAGGCTTCTCTCGAGACCAAGCTGGTTCTTGCAACCGCCCACGCCCTTGTCAAGCTTGACGAGGGAGACATCGTTGGTGACCCCATGGAGAAGGCTACTCTAACATCTCTTGGCTGGACTCTTGGTCGCAACGATACCCTTATGAGCACCAATAAGGCTGGAAGCACACATGGTACCGTTCAGATCAAGCGCCGATTCCAATTCTCTTCTGCCCTCAAGCGCCAAAGTTCTGTTGCTATGGTTCACGGAAACGATATCAAGACTGGACGCAAGATCAAGGGTACTTTTGCTGGCGTCAAGGGTGCGCCCGAGACCATCCAGAAGATGCTCAAGGTTATCCCCGATGACTATGAGGAGACTTATAAGTACTTCACTCGCAAGGGTTCCCGTGTTCTGGCTCTCGCCTACAAGCAACTTACCATCGATACTGAGCTTGGTTCTGGAAAGATCAATGATCTGAAGCGCGAGAAGGTTGAGTCTGATTTGACATTCGCCGGTTTCCTCGTCCTGCACTGCCCTCTCAAGGATGATGCCAAAGAGGCTGTCCAGATGTTGAACGAGAGCAGCCATCGCGTGGTCATGATTACTGGAGACAACCCCCTTACCGCCGTACATGTCGCTCGTGAGGTTGAGATCGTCGATCGTGACGTCCTTATCCTTGATGCCCCCGAAGATAACTCCAACGGTGACAAGCTCGTCTGGAAGAGTGTTGACGATAAGGTCAGCATCAAGGTCGACCCCACCAAGCCCATTGATCCCGAGATCATTCGCTCCAAGGATATCTGCGTTACCGGTTATGCTCTTGCCAAGTTCAAGGGACAAGTTGCCTGGAATGAGATTCTGCGTCATACCTGGGTCTACGCTCGTGTTTCCCCCAAGCAAAAGGAGGATATTCTTCTTGGTCTCAAGGATATGGGTTACTACACTCTGATGGCTGGTGACGGTACCAACGATGTCGGTGCTTTAAAGCAGGCTCACATTGGTATTGCTCTGTTGAACGGAACACCTGAAGATCTCACTCGTATTGCCGAACATTCCCGAAACACCAAGATGAAGGAGATGTATCAGAAGCAATGTGATCTCATGAAGCGCTTCAACCAACCTAATCCTCCTGTCCCTGCTTTGATTGCCCACCTTTACCCCCCTGGACCTCAGAACCCTCAGTTTCAGAAGGCTATTGAGCGTGAAGCTCAGAAGAAGAACGTCACCCCCGAGGAATACGCCAAGTCGCAAGGCTTCGATTACGAAACCATCACCTCTCCTGGCGCTCAGGCTCTTATGGATGCTGGTCCTCACGCCAACCGTCAAGGCGAGGCTGCTAAGAAGGCCGCCGGTTTCGCTGACAAGCTTGCGTCTGGTATGATGGAGGCTGAATTGGGAGATGACGAGCCCCCTACTCTCAAACTTGGCGATGCCTCAGTTGCTGCACCTTTCACATCCAAACTCCGAAACGTCGTTGCTGTCCCCAACATCATCCGCCAGGGCCGTTGCACTCTTGTTGCCACTATCCAGATGTACAAGATTCTCGCCCTCAACTGTCTTATTACCGCTTATTCCTTGTCCGTCTTGTATCTTGAGGGTATCAAATTTGGTGACACACAGTATACCATCAGTGGTATGCTCATGTCGGTTTGCTTCCTCAGTATTTCTCGCGCTCGTGTCGTCGAGGGCCTTAGCAAGGAACGTCCTCAGCCCAACATCTTCAACGTTTATATCATCGGCTCGATTCTGGGACAGTTTGCTGTTCACATCGTCACTCTGATCTACATCGCCCGACTCTGCGATAGACTTGCCCCGTAAGTTAACGCTCCATTCTACATGACTCTGATATAATAGCTAACATGTTATAGTCGCTCTGAGGATGTTGATCTTGAGGCTGAATTTGCTCCATCTCTGCTCAACTCTGCCGTCTACCTTCTCCAGCTTATCCAGCAAATCTCCACCTTCGCCATCAATTATCAAGGCCGTCCCTTCCGTGAATCTCTCTCCGAGAACAAGGGTATGTTCTATGGTATCGTTGGTGTCTCCGGACTTGCTTTTGCCTGTGCTCTTGAGCTCTTCCCCGACATCAACGAGGGTATGAAGCTTGTTCCTTTCTCGGACGAGTTCAAGACCAACATGACCGCTGTCATGGTCATCGACTACGCTGCTTGCTGGCTTATCGAGGTCAGCTTGAAGAAGTTCTTCAGTGATTACCGACCTCGCGATATTGCCGAGCGACGACCTGAGCAGCTGGAGAGGGAGGCTGTTCGCCGCGCCGCCGCCCAGAAGAAGAAGGACGAGGAAGAGGAGCAGAAGAGACTCGAGAAGGTTGCCGAGTTTGAGCGCAAAGTCGAGGAGCGACGAAGAAAGATTGAGGAGTGGCGAGCTGGAAGAACTTAATAGTCTTACTCAATCATAATGAGATGATTGAGATTTTGGTTTAGATCTCATGAGAGGCTTTAGAGTAAGCATACTATATCATAGACAGGAGGAAATTATTAGGGTTGGGCAGGCTGGGGAAGTTAGGAGCCGGCCAATTTGGAGGTGTATACTATTGATGGGTAGACTTGATCATGAACACAACCGATTATTTTAATTGCATTTGAGGCCTAAAGTGACCATTCGTTTAAACAGCCAAAGGCTATGATTCATTGTAACGATGCAGTTAGTACCACCAAGTCCAGGACTGGTTATTTCTGATTGTAGTACTGGCATTCGCTTGCTAGTCAAATTCAGTCACTAAGGATACAATCTCTTGGGGTATTTTTTTCATTCATTGCTATAGTACAGACACAGACCGGATTTCCAAGTCTATAGAGGTGGTAGAACAATAGGAAGAAAAGCATGGGTATATCAATCGCTCATACACCCCGCCTCTTATTCCCGATCCTCACACGAAAGACATCCGTACTGAGAGTTTACCTCTATCCTTTTTTCTCCTTTTCGCCACAATACCCAGTTCTCTTAATCTAGGTCGTTCTCTAAAAGCTCGAAATGAGCCCAGAGACCATTTATTTGGGAGGGTTGGAGGCAACGAAGGCAACGCCCTTCTCGATGTTCTTCTTGAGGTCGACGAGAGCAGCGTCAACGAGCTTCTCCTCGTTGGCATCGAGCTTGCCGAGAGGGTGAATCTTCTCAACACCCTCGGGGCCGAGCTCAACCTTGGAGCTGAAGAACTCAATACCCTGGTCCTTGTAGAGAGGAGACTCGACGAAAGAGGGCTCAATGACACCCTTCTCGCCCTGGACAGCGCGGAGGATGGAGTCAGCCATGCGGGCACCAGCCATGGCCATGGAAAGAGTGGCAGAGCCAGCGCCGTCCTTGGCCTTGACAACCTCGTCACCACCGAACTGGACACGCTTGACGAGCTCAGCGTTGGAAGAGAGGTCGGGGTGGTTGGACTGAGAGAAGAGAGGAACGATGGTGACACCGGAGTGGCCACCGACAACGGTGATGTTCTCGTCCTTGGGGTCGGTGCCCTTAATCTCGGAAACGAATCGGGAGGCACGGACAACATCGAGGGTGGTGACACCGAAGAGGGTCTTGGGGTTGTAGACACCCTCAGCCTTGAAAACCTCCTTGACGATTGGGACGGTAGAGTTGACGGGGTTGGAGATGATCAGGAGCTTGGCCTTGGGAGCAGCCTGAGCAGCGGCCTTGGCGAGGTCGCGGACGATGGAGGCGTTGGTGTTGAAGAGATCGTCACGGGTCATACCGGGCTTGCGGGGAACACCAGCGGGGATGAGGACAACCTCGGCACCAGAGAGAGCCTCCTTGAGTCCGGCAGCGTTGGGCTCGTAGCCCTTGACGGTGGACTTGGTGTTGACGTGAGAGATGTCAGCAGCAACACCTGCATTTCTCTTGTTAGCTGGTGGTCCAGATCTTGCGAGGTGGCAACAAAGGCGAATTGAGTTAGAGCGAACGTGGTCAACATGATCGTTGCTCGATTCTCGTTTGTGCCAATTTGCAATTGTTTTGACCCCGACCGAAAGAATCTGCTAATGTCGTTACGTACCGGGTCCGCCACGGATATCGTAGAGAGCGAGGTCAGTGACGCGGGGGTTCATCTTGAGCAGAAGAGAGAGAGGCTGGCCAATGCCACCGGCAGCACCGAGAACGGTGACCTTGGAGAGCTATAGAAGGCATGTCAGTACTTGATGGAAGTATTGAAACAATTTCGGCTTTTCTGAAGCTCAAATCTGATCTCATGATGGCCCCCCAACAGCCGGGCCGGTGTCGGTCGGTGAAGAGGAAAAAAACCACAAAAGGCACAAAACGCTGCGCTCATGAGTGAGGGCATTAAACTTACGTCACGGGCGGTGGCCGAGAAAGCACGGCGCTGGATACGAGAAGCGGCGAACATTTTTGCGATTGATTAACTCTTCAATTGGAGAAAAGGGTAAGAAAAGACGGGATGCGGGTGGAAAGAAGAAGAGGTTGGCGATGAGCACTTTAAATACGGGGAGGGAGACCCGGAAGGAGGAGGATGGGAAGCTCCAGTGCGACGCAATTCAAGGCATATTATGCCCCTTCAGGTTTAGCGCATCGAGCTGAGGGGCCGGAGCGGAGGAGGCTCGGAATTTCGATTTTTGAGAAGACACGGAAGACCAGACAAGAACCTCTTGCATGATGAAATACCAGCTATGATCATATAGCAAATCTCTTGAATTTTGAAATATCTGACGGCTACATATACTCTCAGTAAACATAGAGGTCCCAAGGTTATGGCGCTGCCAATCACTTTGTCTAGGCCATCTGATCACTAGATCTTAGGTGGAATATGTCAGTGAATCAAGCAAACCGAGACTGCATTAGTTGAGCATCCTGGTTGTCTGGTTGGCTCGCTTCGACATCATTCACTTATCCATTCATCCGGTACTGTAAGAAGCTTCCCTCGACTTGCACCGAATTGCTGCACTCATGGATCCATGCGCCATGAGCATCCAGCATAAAGCGGATCAATGGCTGTACGCTCGTAGAACCACATGATGGTTCATATCAGATTTCTACGGGTACCTCGGAAAGACAGAAAAGCTGTCATAAAACAATTGCACGTGTACGGTATACGACAAAGAGCCGAGCACTAATGCCATGTTGCATTCATGGTGAATTTATTTCTTAGCTGATTAACCCGGGTAGACAACTGTCAAAGCCAGTCAAAGTTAACTGAAAGGTTATTCCTCAAGGCACCAATGGGTCAAAAGAGAATCTCAAATGTTCAAACGCGGTTGATTTGTTATGAAATGGAAACTCCATCAAGACGGAGGGACTGAAGGGCAAAAGTCGGCGTGTGAGTCAGCAAACAGGACGCTCTTAAACCTCTTGAGGGGCTAAGAGGTTTGGTGGGGGAGCTTCAAGCTATCTTCTTCAACGACGTCAACATTCCGTTTTTAATAACTTTCGCTCTTCACTGTCAGCGAAAAGAAGCCAGTCGCTTAGCCACATTCAAGATCCAGAAAGCTTTAAGGAGCCCCTTATCTCACGAGAACAACGAGACATGTCGATCGCACAGCTGTCGCAGCTGTTACCGCTTCCCGACGAGGAGCTTAAACAGATACTAGATTACGCCTCGACTCTCTCCACAACAGAAGCTGCAGAGCATTTTGGAAACCTCCTAGGAGACTCTCCACAGGCCATCGAGTTTATATCGTCGTTTAACGCCCGACGGCAAACTTCGGCCCCTGGGAGCTCGTCGTACTCCAGTGCCGCTGCACCGCCTGAACCCGAATCACAGAATATCGAGGCTGTACCCAAGGCGAAACGGCAGCCAAAGAAGAAGAAGGCAAATATTCACACACCGCAAGCAAGACAGGTCAACGAATATGCTGCACCTGCGGGTACAACTTACAGCAAGAAGGATCTGAGCCTTGACTACATCCCTCAGCGTTCGAGCGCACCCAGCAGTAACAATGCTTCACGATCGAACACGCCGAAACCAGACCCTAAGCCTGTCGCAAAGCCTCCACCTAAGCAGCATGCATCAGCTGGCTATCTTATAGGGGAAGGGCCATCGAAACCCAAACCTAAATCTACGCCTGTATCAAGAAGTTCTACACCAAAGCCAGCTACAAGCACGAAGATATCTATAGCTGGAGGCATGCCGATGGCTGGAGCTTCGACTGCCATTTCTGATCTCGACGCAGCTATCAGGGCGCTGGAAATCTCAACAAATCCTACACTGGAGAATTCCAAGTCTAGGAAGTGCAACTGTGTCGCTACAAGACACCCTCTTCAAGGCGCTGCGCCAAATTGTCTCTCATGCGGCAAGGTTATATGCATGAAGGAAGGTCTCGGACCTTGCACGTTCTGCGGTAGCCCTCTGTTGACGCCAGATGACGTCCAAGCCATGGTCCGGGAGCTCAAGGATGAGCGAGGCCGCGAGCGAATGGCAGCCAACCGAGACGCCAATCGCCGTGCTGACGTTGCCAAGACTCCAGCGCCGTTTACTCAACCACGCGGCAACGACGGCGCTTCACTAAGCGACGCTGAAGCCAAGGCTCGTGCGCATCGTGACAAGCTTCTCAATTTCCAAGCACAAAATGCCAGGCGAACGACAGTCCGCGATGAGGCTGCTGACTTTGATGTTGGTGGAGCGCTTACAGGGACAGGCAGCATGTGGGCAACTCCTGAGGAGAGAGCGAGAGAATTGAAGCGTCAACAGAAAGTGCTTCGAGAAATGGAGTGGAACGCGCGGCCAGACTACGAGAAGCGAAAGCAGGTTGTGAGCATTGACGTGGTTGGCGGCAAGGTTGTTCGCAAGATGGCAGCTGTCGAAAGACCTGTGACTCCTGAGTCCGACGAGGACCCTGTCGACAACGGCGCACTTGGGGAGACATCAGCGAACAAGAACAGTGGAAGAGGCGGTGGAGCCTTCAGCGGCAATCCTCTCCTGGGAGCGCTGATCAAGCCTGTGTTTGATGCCAAGGGCAAGGGTGCGGAGGTCGAGGGAAGAGAATCGAGAAAGAAGAAGGGATGGCAGAGGGTCCAGCACGATCTGAATAATAATGAGGAAGTGATTTTGGATGGAGGCGTTCAAGGGCATGATAGAAGTGATGAGCCAGCTTGTGGATGATTATGCGGCCATGATGAAACTCATATCTGGGAAAGATAGACATTTTCCATACCATGATAGACGTTCAGTGCAAAGGGTGATCCGCTAAATTACGATAGAATTCATAATTGAAATAGAAGACCTAAAACCCTGATTTTCCAAGAATTCTCCCATTAATGTCGTGTCCCAGACTGTATCTAGGTACCGTTGTAAGTGGACGATCAATGTACTACATACTATCATAATGGTTCTCCGGGAGCAAGAAAACAGCGGACCTTGATACATGATGTCAAAATAAACTTGTCAAAAGTATCCTAAACTCAGGCAAAACTTATACTAAGTTCATGCT